AAGGTGTTTATGCGCGAATGATAACACCGGGCGCCTAAATGCATGCTATGCACTGCTGCATGTGCAGAATTTGCCTCTACTTAATTTATGAAATTTTTGCATATGCACTTCTCAACTACCATCTAATAAAGCTTTCTCAAGTAATAAATTGATGGCACTTCAAAGTATGCTCGGCCTGGTCTGATGCATCCTCCGGACAGTGTTGCCGGAGTTTTCGGAGAGGTGGTAACAGATGGTTTCCATTGACCATGAGTTATTCACAAGGTGTTGCCACATTGATAATTTATGAATGCTACCGATTCAGGTTTTTATCGCCTTTCAGGTGCTAAACATAGACTTTGCAATTTTTACTTGACGTGAAGATATTGTTCCCTTTGTCAAATCGTAGATCCAGTTAAGATATATGGTTCCAAGATACCAGATAAATCCAAGAAACCACCGCTGGTGTATTTTCAGATTCATTTTTTCTAAAAAGTTACCTCTGCATGGCTGTTACTCAAAAAACACGGAGATGTGGCCTTGAATGGATTGAAAATAAAATAGGTGGAGAAAAACGAAGCGTAGCCAATAACAAACGCGCTACGAATACCCCCGATAACTTTATTCCGCCGAACTCTTACAGGTTTATCGTCTATCTTCAGTTTGATTACTTTTAGAAGGAAGGTACTATTCGCTTCAATACTTGCCCAATCCCCGGGCACAAAGCTGAGAATTCGAAAAAAAGAAGTGAACAGCGTTGCGGTCTCCAGCGCACACAACCACATCAGATGATATACATTTGCCTTGGCTCAATAAAATAAACAAAAAAGGAAAATTAAGAAAAAAAAACAAAATAAAGATCATGCTGCATCCAAGGGACCTTGCTGAGACAAGCCTTCAAGTGTTTTATGGAAAACATTTTGTCGGCTACGTCACTCTATGCCTTGCCCTTTTCGCTTGCTTCGTTTTCGATCCGCTTCCGTGCGAATGGCCAGCGGTCAAAGTTACTGGGCAAAGTAATTACAGAAAATGCAGTCGTAAAATGGTATTGAATGGACTATTGCAGAGCTAAAATTTAGTTAGATCACATGGCATATGAGCGAAATATTACTTCGGTGTATTTGATGTATGCATTTGTATGTTTTAAATGATGGGATATATTTTCTGGAATTTTGATGTCAAAATCTATTTGACTTAAGTGGATTTTTGCCACCGGAACTACAATTCATGACCTTATATAAAAATATTTAAAAACATACATATTTTTTATTTTGGTTGTTATGACTTCATAAGCTAAGTAAGTACAGCTGTAAGCGATTATAAGCTTTTATTCCGCCAGTAGCCTTTTTCAAATTATTTTCCAATATCGCTAGAGTCTTTGGTGGCTAATTAATTTAGTTTTTTTGGTCTGAAAACTATTTGCAAAATCACTAAATAAATTGCAGGTAAAATGTGATTTAAAGCAACGCGACAGCTAATAATGGCCGCCATCAAACGCATGCCAGTCAGTTGCGGCAAACTTCCAGTGACAGTCTGTCACTTGACGGGCAAGCAAGGAAAAATGCAGACTAAAAAACAAAGGTGCCCAAGGAGGAAGCAATAAAATTGCCGGACAGGGCACTCAAAAGATGCGAAAGCCAGAGAAACTAAAATGAAGTGACCACTGGGCACAAAAAATAAAGATAGCAATACTTTCAAACACTAAAGAATAATGACAACCCATTAACGATGCACGCCTTGATATGCGCCAACCGCACAACTCCACTCTGCCCCACTCCATGGCGCAGCACATCACATATCAGTCAAAGGATCAGCCACATCAGCAGAATCCACACAACACAATCGCGCCATCAAAAAAACACTGGACACAAATATAAGAGCAAGAACAACAGCAACTCAGTAATTGGAACAATCGGAGCACTTTAGGCAGCCAGCCAAGAGGCGCATAATAAAAGGCGGTAGCAAACGAGGGAATAATGGTGCTGAGGAAATGCGCGGCGGCTGGGCGCAAGCAGCTCAAAAGACAATTACTGACATTAGGCTGTGCACAAGGGAAGCGCGTCGCGGCGCTGCCGGAAGAGGCAATGTAAGAGGCATCGACGATATCCCGAACAAGAAGAAAGGCTATTTTTATAAGAGCGCTGCGCAAAAACTACTACCATCAGGTAGCGCGCAACAATTACTAAAACAAAAGCAACACACGCTAGCACTCTCTCTTCATATCAAAAGTATCAAAGCTTTGATGAGGTCCTCTTGATGTGGCGCATCAAAATCGTTGGATGCACGCGTCGCGCAGCCATCAGCAGTCATCGAATGCCAATCGTCGCCGCTGTAGCTGTTGATTTTGCCATTCTCCGCCGCGTCATATTGCTGTGTACGCGGCAATAGCGACAAACACATCTACATTGGCAAACAACAATGCTGCGCGTCAGATTTAATACGCCACTCAGCCCGGCCATATGTGCTTTGATCGAGTGGAGCGCTCCATTTTAAAGGGAATTTTTCTTTTATATGCGCATAGTGTTCGCGCGCTATCTCCACTGTGGTTGAAGAGCTTCGCCATCACCGCGTTCGCCGCACTAGCCGCCATTTGGCCGGATTTAATGGCGGCACACAAAGGTGCTGGGCACGCTTGAGTGTGTATGTGCGCGCACTGTGTCTGCGCTACCTGCCTCGGTTGGCACGACCGACAGATAGGCGAACTAAATTGCCAACTTGACATCATGAAAATGTACGATGTGGAGCGCGAAACGCAATAAAGTGGAGCGCGCATTGAAGGGAGCTCTACCGCCGCAACATGACTGCATCCTTATTTACTTCAGCGTGCATACAAACATACATACAGTAGTATGCTAGCGCTATAAAAACGTTTATGCGCTGCGCAGTGCTTTGTCTGATCTGCATACAATTGCCCAGCACTCAACTGCAATCGCTGCGATTCAATCCGATCATCTGCGATGCGATAGTCGCTTTACCTTGCTAGTGCGATGCGTATCTCGTTGCGCATGCATCCCTGCGGGCGTTGATATGTTGAAGTGCTGGTGTAAACGACAATAAACCCAGCTGCCGCATTTAATTTTGAAGCCACTGCGACGGAGTTGGGGCTAAAGCAATACCCGTTTTCGCCCCTACCCCCTCCCATGTTTTTTGTTTTTTTTTTTTGGTCGCAAGCAAGTTATGGCCATTATTGCAGTGCTTGGGACCAAGTCGAAATGCGATTATTTAGCAAATACGCAAGAGGATGTATAAACATTGTACAATTGCATTTTCACGGAAAAGTTCCTGCTTAAAGTTTATTAGGAAGATTCTAGAAACGGAAAAGGAGTCTCTCGGAAGTTATATGTATGTGTCGGAAACAAATTGTCGGATACAGCTTTAGGAAACGGAACAATGAACTGCCTATAAGGTAGTTTTTTTTGTTGTATTTGCACGAGATGGCGCTAGCTTATACGAAACTCGAATTTTCACTTACCCAAGCCAGCAGCTTCCACGGCATTCTCGATATTTGCACGACCTTTCTTTGCCATTAAAACAAGCAACATCGATTATAATTTCATATAATTATTACACTCGAACACCTAAATATCACTTCACACACCTTTTTAAACTATTAAATTCACTAGAAAACTCACATTTAATTAATTTTACAAAGCGCGCACACCCGCTCGCCAATTGGACCAATTTCGAACTGTCGAAGTTGGCGTTGCCAGGTGGTCAAATAATTACGATATACATAAAAGGTCGTAATTTATGTTTCAGCGCATCAATTGGGCTGTGAACTATTTACTAAGGATAACTCAGGAAATCTTAAGTATATTAAGCTTTTCACTGATCAAAACCTACTTCGTTAACTACCTCAAATCTTCGTTGGAAGTTTTTAACATTTATGTTCCGTACGGCAACACTGGCTCTAAACGACTTGACAGTTTTAATATCGTAACAAAATATTGGCGGTCGTACAAGATATCGTAATATTTAATATAAACTTTAACAGTGCAAATGTATTAAAAAATGGTTTTCCTGCGTTCATTTCGATTAAAAGGTCTACAAAATCCGGAAAGATTTCGTGAGAACAACGAACCTGTTCTAACACGGCGGGAGTGCCCTTTCTGTGTAGTCAGTGATTGGCTAAATCAAATGCATTGCAAGGACACCACTAGACTCCATTCACNAAAAATCCGGAAAGATTTCGTGAGAACAACGAACCTGTTCTAACACGGCGGGAGTGCCCTTTCTGTGTAGTCAATGATTGGCTAAATCAAATGCATTGCAAGGACACCACTAGACTCCATTCACTGTCCTTCAACTCTACAAACGGAAAACCAGTGCTCCACCAAGGTATAGTGTCATAATTTCTCAGCAATATTTGCCGCATAAATTCCCGCATGGTCTGTCGAGCAGTCGTCCGCGTTTGACTGGCCAATAATTCCTGCAAGCTGCCTGCTGTGTGCGCATGCAATCTAAATTTAACTTAGTGCCTGCTGCAACCTGAGTAGCTATCTGCCTAAGCTTTTGGTTGCAGGGCCAGCGTATACTTATAAACATTATTGTGTTGGTTACTTCTCCAACCTCGATTGGAATGCAGTTGTAGAGGCTGATAAATATCGAAATGCGAATGACCGCCACAGACTTTAATCATCATTTGTCCAGCCCCATTCGATTTGGACTGCGAAATCAATGGTGTGTCAGCCGCAGCAAGTTGAACGATGTGACTGTAACTGTGGCAACTAAGTGGCTAACATGGAGACTGGCATGTTGCAAACGACTTTGATTTATGCGTTTGTTGCAAAAGCTGTCCAGGTGTGTTTTAAAAAATGTATAACGTGCCGCAGTACGTTGATGCAGCTTCAAGCTGCAATCATCCTTGCTTTGCACAGCAATCTGGTTCCGCGTTTTTTGTCACTCATTGGAGCAGTGTTTTTAATTATTTATAAGGCATTTCCTCTATTAATTCATTCTCCAACTTATTTATGCTCCATTCAATGTCCAAACCGCTTTTATTTTTCTTCATATCATTACAGTCATCATAAAGGGCATATTGCCTCATTTTGAGAAAAAAGGAGCTGCACCGTCATGTTGCGACATGTCTCTTTATCATCAGCAGCACTGTGGTTCTGCCAGCTGCAAATACTCTGCCATCAGCTTGTGCTTACGTCGGCGTCACAGCCCTCGCTGGGTGTTCACATCGTGCGCTCACCCGAATCCGCGGTGGCGCCAAAGGGCGATGAGGTTGTTTTCGAGTGTGAATTGAATTTGCTTTGGGAGCGTTTGGAGTGGCGCTTCCGTCACACAAGCACTCGCGCAACAGATGCCATGAACTACAGTTATTTACGCGCTGAGGTGAGTAATTCATCACGCCACTTTTCTGCGTATATGGCTGTGGGTACCACTTCACGTATGTACATATCTATCTTTCTTTTTACTGTCACCCGCAGGATGGTCACAATATCACCAATGATGATCTCACGTCACGTCTGCGTGTTTTCGTCTCACCCGAAACTTTGGGCGACTATCAGTGCGTTGCCTGGTTCGGTTCAGCCGCCATCGCTTCGACGCCTGCGCGCTTGACACTCGTCTCCATCAGCATCGATAACTCCAACGGCTACAGTCGCAATGCCATACGCTGGAGCGTCGCGCCTAAGAACTGCATACTAATACGCTGCGGCACAGTCAGCTCGAATCCACCCGCTGTGTGGAGTTTTTTTCGCAACGGCGAGAAAGTGCCGCAGACCGAGGTGCTCCCGTCAGCAAACGGCGCCCTTATACTTAACTCCGTGTCCTCGAAGGATTCCGGTAATTATACCTGCTCCGCGATGAACGCCATCACAGGTGTCGAAGTGAGGCTGCCGCAACGCATCGATTTGCGAGTCGACTACACCGATCGCACGCCGCCATACTTTCTCAATCCACCGCCGGCGCAGGTGACCGCGCGTCCTGGAGAAACAGCGGTTTTAGAATGTCCAGGTGTGGGATCACCTTCGCCGGAAGCAGTTTGGAGCAGCCCTAATGTAATCAACATCTACAATAACCGCACAAAGGTGCTGCCTTACGGTCTACAGATATCCGATGTGCTGCCAGAGGATCAGGGCTCCTATGTATGCCGGCTGGACAATGGTATTGCGCCTGCGCTGGTGCAGATAATAAAATTTATTGTTTTGGAGGCACCGCAAATCTTGCGTGGCCCAGCAACGACGCTCACAAACGAAGGCGAACAGCTGGAGCTAGAGTGTTCGGCGGCAGGCAATCCCTTCCCCCAGATTTATTGGCTGATCAACGGCGAAGACACTTCGTTGGACAACGAAACGTTCCACGAAGACCGCAGATTGGTCATACGACATGTGCAAAAGCGGCACGCGGGCATCGTGCAGTGCTTCTCGAAAAACGAAGTGGGCGAGGTGAGTTTGGCGGGGGAAACATTTTGGGGAGAAATTTGTTAATAGTTTTTTTCCTTCAGGCAAGCGAGGGAAGTCTGCTGCAAGTAAATCCGAAACAAATACAAGGCGAGGGTTCNCGTTCCACGAAGACCGCAGATTGGTCATACGACATGTGCAAAAGCGGCACGCGGGCATCGTGCAGTGCTTCTCGAAAAACGAAGTGGGCGAGGTGAGTTTGGCGAGGGAAAAATTTTTGGGAGAAATTTGTTAATAGTTTTTGTTCGCTCAGGCAAGCGAGGGAAGTCTGCTGCAAGTAAATCCGAAACAAATACAAGGCGAGGGTTCAGCTCCACTGGGCAATGTGCCAATTCGGACGTCTTACGAGCATACAGGCAACAAGAATAAGGGCAAGCGGAAGCATATGAAAATGCGTGAGTATATTAACCAGTGCTTTACATATTAAAATTTTCTAAGACTTTTAGTTTCAAAGATTAGCTAATATTTTTAAAATTTTCACAAGTGTTTAAAAATTAATTTCGTGTTCTCTCTTCTCTTTGGGAGTATTTCCTAAAATTTGCTTGCAATTAATCATTACATTTTACCATTTCCATGCGGTTCAGTACCAGATTTCAGATTTATTAGCTTCAAATTAATTCGAGATAAATATCCATGTACAATTCGAATTGTTTTCGTCGCGNCAAATTTTCTAAGACTTTTAGTTTCAAAGGTTAGCTAATATTTTTTAAAATTTTCACAAGTGTTTAAAAATTAATTTCGTGTTCTCTCTTCTCTTTGGGAGTATTTCCTAAAATTTGCTTGCAATTAATCATTACATTTTACCATTTCCATGCGGTTCAGTACCAGATTTCAGATTTATTAGCTTCAAATTAATTCGAGATAAATATCCATGTACAATTCGAATTGTTTTCGTCGCGGCGACATCTTACACTAGTTTACATTTGACCCTAAAATACGCTCTTCTGTTTAGCATAACTAAAATTCCATAGACTTATTTCATACATACATACTTATGTATATGTATACAAACGTGTATACCAAAAAGTAACAATTTAAAATGCTCTTCCGCATTCGCCGTTATCATTAGTAGTACAATTACAAAACTAATATTTGTATATAAAAATTTAATATGATATTATGTACTAGAATCAAAAAGCTTAGAATTAATTTATGAAATACGCAAATATGTATATCCCACTCTCGCTCCCTTTACACTCCTCCGACTTTGCATCCAACTGCTGATGACGTCTCTCTGCTCCTATACCGCGCTTGGGCTCTTACGCAATATTTTTTCCTCCTCCTGCAAGATGCGTATTTTCATCTTCAGCTCCTCCACCTGTAGACGATGCACCTCGCGCAAATGCTTCAGCTCCTCCTGGGCCCGATTTAATTCCATTTTTTTCTTCTCCAGTGACACTTGCACCTCCTTGAAACGCAGCTCAGCCTCCTTTAAACGGAAATATTGCACCTTCTCTTCGAACGACTCCACCGATATTGTTGTATTTCCCTGCGGAGCTGAAGCCGCTGCTGCATTGCTTACCGTCACAGTGGGCACGACTGGCGCTGGCGCGGGCGCTGTGGCAACAGGCAGCGCGTGCAGCGTGGTGCAAGTGAATGTGGGCGTTGCAGTGGCAAACTGTGCGGTGGCTGGCGATTGCAGCTGCATTTTCACTTGGTGGTGCTGCTGTTGTTGTTGTTGTTGTTGCTGCTGATGCTGTTGCGCCGCAACGGCCAGCTGATGTTGAGCGAGCTGCTGTTGCTGCAACTGCTGCGCTTGGTACTGGGCCAGCGTGATTTGCTGGGGCTTGATCTCGCTGATGATCTGTTGATTGTAAGCGGCCGCAGGCATAGCGGTAATGGTGTGCTGCTGCGTCTGGTGCTGGCTGGGTATGGTGATACGCGTTGGCGATGGGATTGTGATGTGGGCAGCTATAAATGGAAGTAGATTTGGGCAATTAGATAAAAGATGTGCATGCAATGCGTAGTATGGTTAGTACTCACTGGTTGAATCGGTTGGATGTTTTATTTGCAAAATGATGTCCTCGCGAGGGCGTGTAGTTTTGAATTGTAGCAAGTCGTTAAGCGTCAGCTTCTCAGCGCTGATTTGATCCACTGAAATCTGTTGCGTCTGTATATTTTGCTGCTGCTGTTGTACGTGATGTTGCAACACTTGGTGGTGTTGGTGCTGCTGTTGTTGTTGTTGTTGCTGCTGCTGTTGATGCAATGGATCGATATGCTCNTGATTTGATCCACTGAAATCTGTTGCGTCTGTATATTTTGCTGCTGCTGTTGTACGTGATGTTGCAACACTTGGTGGTGTTGGTGCTGCTGTTGTTGTTGTTGTTGCTGCTGCTGTTGATGCAATGGATCGATATGCTCCTGCTCCAGCTGTCCATCGCTGGTATCCATATCGATCTCTTCGAATGTCTCATTCTGGGAACCGGGGTCTTCTTGCTCTGCGTTGGTGAGCTGGAAATCGGGTTCATCTTTTATTGGATGGTTTACCACCTCCGATTGTTCATTTGTTTCGATGCTAGTTTGTGTATTGTTTGCCTCCTTCTGACCATTGGGACGAAAGGGATACTGCTTGCGTAGTCTGGGGGAAAGTTCGGAGAAAAGGAGATTATTAGGCACTGAGGAAAAGCAATTATGATTTAAATGGCAACTCACACCAGCTGACCACACACACACACCCACATACATGCATATGTACAAACATAATAGCTGAAATACAATGCCGGCGAACGGCGAACTCACCACANACCCACATACATGCATATGTACAAACATAAACGTCATACAATTGCTGCTCAAGAAGAAGGAAATGCGAGACCTGCTAGCGAGTGGAATGCCGCTACTGTCGCACACTCGGTACTGTACTCGGCGTAGCACTCAAGCCGAGCGCGTTTTGTTCATTCATCGATTTTGTACATAGCCAGAAATTGTTTAATATATATATTTTTTTTTAAACGTTGATAAGCAGAAATTGGGTAAGGAAATCGAAAATATTCAGCGTTGAGAATTATTTTGTATATTTGAGATGCAATTTGCTTGCGTTGAGATATTCTCGTCGCAGTTCGTTTGCCGCCATTTTTAATTGCACTCGAAAGACGAGTATGTGAATGCTGACGATGAATGAGGGCATGAGTAAATCCCATTGCCTTGCGGAGTGAAGCGCAACGCTCAGCTATTTATGTAGGTATATACATACCATCGCGATGCTCGTCCAAGTGTGGTGTTGTTGTTCTTGTTTTGCACTTGTGCATTTGGCTCGGTTCTGTGAACGACTTTTCGCTCGATTTGCTGCTATTTTGAGGCGTTTTTGTGTTTTTGATGGGGCTTTGAGTCCATGAGGCGCACTAGAGCAGCACATATTTATTTGTTATGAGTTGGAATGCGGCTTTCAATGAGCTGCTTAACGACACATGATTTAGCTAAAACATTCACAAAAACACATATTCGTACACACAATACTAATACATTTGTATGTATTTGATGCGATCCGTGCATTTCACCGTCGACTGTGTTGAGTGGCCCCCATACGCGCGTAACAGGTGTAGAAATTGGAGCAACCACACGCAGGTCAGCAAATGCACCAATCGCCTGTGAAGCCATAGAAACAGCAAAGCTCCACCACGATACCTCTTATTACCAGACACGCCCCTGCGGTTCACTTACCTCGCATTCAGCCAGAACTTCTGAATCTGCTTCAGGTTTCGCACAGCGCTCACACCCGGATGTGAATTGAATTCGCGTACAATATTTTCCCAGGCATCGCGTACTGAATACTTGGAGCGCTGCTTCTTCCTGAACTTGATATCGATGACCTCCTCGTGCTCATGGAACAGGCTGTAGAGTATCTCCTTCTCTTCTTGCGTGAATCGCGGTGTCAGCGTCAGTTGGCCAGTCTTGTTTCCGGCCCCGCTGGCACCCGCACTGCCCGTGGACGTGTTGGCGACTTGATGCTCCTCCGCACCAGTGCCCGTGGTGGTGACCACAGTCACGGTGCCATCACCGCCGCCGGCCACGCCAGTGGACATTTGACGCGATTTTCTGGCTATGTTGACGGCAAAAACTTACAAACGAACAATGAAGAAACCTATGGACAAGCGCTGCTACCTCGACGACAACGACTTGTGCCACCTATGTACGTGTGGGTGAAGCTGTCGTAATTACCCTGCCTGCATGCAGCTCCACTCGCAAACAGCGTCAGCTCAAGCGGTTTTGTTGGCGCTTAAAAAGGCGAATCGCTTTTCGCTCCACTAAATAACTACATATGAATATTGGAAATTGTTCTCAATTTAAAATTTTTCAACTGCACTCCTCTATGGTTGTTATTGTTGTTGCTGCTGTGAACAAACGCACTTGAATGGAAAGCTGCGCTGCCCTGAGCACTTTTGCACTGAGCTGCGATTTCTAATAAATTACCAACGCGCTTTACTTTTTAATTAACTTTGCAATAAGATTGGCAAAGATTTTTACACTTTTCGAGTAGATTTTGTTTTTCACAAACAGCAAATAGAGAAAATTTTATGTGAAACAAGCGCTGCCACACTCTTCGCAAATCCACTCACAACGAGCTACAGAAAACGAGTGCGAGTGACGAGTGGCGAGTGAACGACGGTCGGCCATGTTTTGAGTTGGTTTTTGGCAGCTGCAGTGCTGCCAGAGTGGCACTTTTGCGTAAGAGATTTATTGGGGATTTTTAAGTTATTAGTTGTAAAATTGTGTGTGCTGTGTAGATGTGGAAAAGGTAATGATTAATGAGTGTGTAGGTGAGTGAGTTTATAGGCTTACGCTCACTCGTTTCTCTTTTCTTACGGAGAAATGGTTTGAGCACAAGGAACAAAGTATTGCGGAAAAATGTAATTCTAACCATTTGCTTTTTTAATCGTTGATTGGGAGATGAAGGAAGATTACGTCTCTTCCGATATTGTCTGACCAAGAAATGTAAACCCATGGACGTTAAATTTTAAATTAATCACTATTTGGAAAAAGACTCAAAAATTGAAGGAGATTTATTTATTTGTTCGTGTTTCATGACCCTATTTGAAATGGGTGCTAATTTAGAAAGTATTTTTAGACAACATGTAGTGGTAACGCTACTCGCTTATGGCGCCATCTGTAGGTAAAATTTTGTGGTTTTCCTATTTCCTAGTGTCGATTAGTGCTAATAAAGTACATTGACGCCCAAACTGTCTTGTGGCTAGTGACTTGGCACAGAGCTCACAAACTTCTTCAGTAGTCGAGTCAGAGAACTTGATAGTTTTAGAGCTATTGCCGTCTTCTCGAAAAGCGACGATAAATCAGTTAACCAGACATCCTACCGACATGTATTTCGACCCGCTGAATATGAATCTGAGGTCCGTTTGACTCGTACACCTCCAAAATTTCGAGTAAATTGCAATTTTTTTTAAATTTGTTTTCGGTTTTTCGTAATTTACTCGAAATTTAGGAGTTATAGATTTTTTGTTGTTGTTGTTGTAACAGCATAAAAATTCGCCCAAAGAGCTTTTGGGGAGTGTTGCTGGAGTGAGAGTCCTTGGCCAGATATTAATCTGGGTCGTGTGTGCTTTTTTGTGTGGTAAAATTAAACTTTGTATAAATTTGAACTACAATTCTATTTTCTACTTTTTCATAATTTTTGCACAATTTTCTGCTAAAATTTCTTTGAATTGGGTTCTCAAAAGGCACTTTTTTCTGTTCCATCAATTACCAAAATAGGTTCCCTTATTTTTTTCTCCACTGTAGCAGCTCAGTCCTCATGCACCTCTCCACCGTCGTCGTCCATGTCTTCTAATAAATCCTTTTCCGGTGCTTCTGGATAGAATTTCTTTAGTATATTTCGTATTTCTTGCATCAGCGGCTCATAGCTGGGCGGGAATTTATCGCGCCTGGGCGGTCCCATATCGATACCCGACCAGAGTTTGTGGACTGAGGTGCGCGCATTCTGCGAAAAGCCGATCTCGAAGGCGCCCTCCCTCGGCGAAACTTTGCCGTTTTGATTGCGTACCAGTTGTATGATGCGATTGGGCACCTGCACTCTCACATACGCGGCGAACTCCTCGGCCTTGGTCTGGAATATCGGGCACTCGTGCGTGTGCTCGATGTATATCATACAACGATTTTTGTCGAAGTTCGCGTCCGCCGCCCAGTCGATCTCCCGTATCTTCTTCGGTTTTTTGCCCTTAGGAGCCATTGGTGCGGGCAGTGAGAGGTGGAAACTGAGAATTTAGAAGCGACACCTCCAGCCAATTTCAAAATAGTTTTATAATTTTTATTTTTAATTGATATGTACATATGTATGTGTTTCTCTTTTGGAAGCGCTTGCTTTTATCGATATGCAATCGATAACTTTTTTACTAATAAATTCTTTATAAACCACTTCTTTTTCAGCCAACATGATTCCGCCTTCGCGCCCAAACGTCACGCGCCTGGCCGACGACTCGGTGATGCTACGGTGGTACGTGCCNATGTGTTTCACTTTTGGAAGCGCTTGCTTTTACGATATGCAATCGATAACTTTTTTACTAATAAATTCTTTTTAAACCACTTCTTTTTCAGCCAACATGATTCCGCCTTCGCGCCCGAACGTCACGCGCCTGGCCGACGACTCGGTGATGCTACGGTGGTACGTGCCGAAGAACGAGGGTCTACCCATACAATTCTTTAAGGTACAGTACCGTATGCTCGGCGATCCGAGCCGCCAAATACCGCGCGAAAACTGGCAGACCACGAACGAAGACATCCCATATGGCAAGCGGGACCGCGGTTTCGAAGGCGTGAAGAACTTCACTTCTTCGGTGGCGGGCTTGAAGCCGGATCGCTTCTACCGCTTTCGCATAATCGCCGTCTACTCGAACAACGACAACAAGGAAGGAAACACCTCAGCGAAGTTCTTCCTGCAGAGCAGTGAAACCCTCGGGCCAACAAAGGCCACGTTGCCCGCACCAGAGCTGGCGCGTGTGGAGCCACTCTCCGAGACCGCGGTGATGCTGCATTGGACGCTGCCTGCGAATCCCATGAACGTACCCGACGGCTACTACGCGTACTACCGACTTGCCTCCTCGGCAGGTGAGTACCTCAAAGCGACGGTGGATGGGCAGCACACGCGCAAGTTTAAGATCGACATGCTGGAACCGGGCACGGCATATGAATTCAAACTGCAGTCCTTTAATGCGCTGGCGGCATCCGAGTTCAGCGCCATACTGCAGGGCAAAACGAAGAGTGAGTAGCATGAGCTTCCTATGGCACCCATATAACCAATTTTAACGCCTTTCTTTTCCGCAGAACCAGCCAATACCGACGCGCCCTCAACGCTAGCGCCCATACCACCGCCAAAAGCCAAGGAAACAAAGAATTCTAAATATCCGGTAGTGGCGGGTATTGCTGGCTTCGGCATCCTCCTAATTGTCGCCATCGTAGCCGCATTCCTGTGCATGAAGCGCCGTAGGCCCGCGCAACCGGAGGGTGAGTAGAGCGCCACCGCAGTTGTTGGAGCATACAAATAGTTTTCGTTTTACTTCCTTTTCAGATGAGGACAAACCGCAGCTGGACCACATACAGGCCGATTTCGTGACGCCCTCAGTGCTGGGTGTGGCGGCGCATCATAAATCCGGCCATCGCCTGAACGGCGTCATACCGCGCATGAACATTACACCAAATCCGCTGGCGCAGGAAGCCGACAAGGTATGTAGCAGGCAGCCAACCGATTGTATATATATATAAAGCCGCGCAGTCTCTGCGGCGCGTCTCCGTTAAAAAGTCGCACTTTTATCTACGACTCCTATACTTTTACAATAGTTTTTGCCGCTTTATTAGGTATTCGAGTTTTCGATTTGTATAAAAATGCATTCCAATTTCGTGTATGATATATTTGCAAATTTTTACGAAATTCTTTGGACAAAATTTTTGCTTCTTTTACTTTCTATTCTTTTCTAGTGGGGTTGTATGTATGTCTTTCAACAGCTGTTGGTGCCTCGACTATGTAACTACTACTTAAATACTCAAATATTATATATCTCGGCTATTTAATTTTTCCAGCAATTCTTCTGCAAATGAGAAAATTGAACAAAAAAAAAACTGCGCAAAACGTTTTTTGGCATTTAAGATCATTTGTAATATATCTTTGGCTATTTGTACATATTTATTTATATATTGGCTGTCGTCTTAAACGCATTAATGCAAAGTATCGAACGCTTTTATTCCTAAGTCATGACATATAGAAATATCCCAGAAGCGCAACCATAAAGAAATGCCAATTTTTAGTAAAGTTGCGCAAATTTGATAGTTAATAAATAAAAAAGACTGATGCTTTGCATTAATGCGTTTAAGAAGACTGCCTTTGTTTATGTAAAGTTATTCTAAGTTGTATGTATATATTTCTGTATATATTTAGTATAAACAACTAAGTGACCGACAGAAGCGACGGAAGGCGACAATGGGGACACTTCTAGAAGTACTGACGCTTTTATATTGTTTGTTATTCAAAGTTGTTCCACATCAAATAATTCTACAACTAAAGGTTACCGACACTTTTGGCCAAAACAAAGGTTCACCAATGCCAAATGTTCTTTTCAAGTTTTTCTTATGAGGCGCCCAAGGCTCATATCATACTTTCGAAAAAAGTTGGATTGTACCGCGAGAACTATGAGGCGAACGCCCAGCCTGCTTTTGGAGAGGGTTTTCTCTCTAAGAATAGCGGTGCTCTGGACGGTTTCCAAATAGAATTAAATAAACTCCTCGATGTGCCTAACCGTAAGCGTTTTAATAAGCAGGATAAATTTTTGATTTTAAACGGAATTTGAGCTTTCATTGAAAAATCCAATTTAAAGTGATTTTTTTTTTTTTTAATTAGGCAGATCTTTAGTTATTTAGATTTCCTCCGGACGTTCATACATTTTTAAAATTAAATATTGTTAAATTATTGACTAAATTCTACTACTATATTTTAGTTAGTTATGTAAATATATATACATATGTACATATATGAATATTATTAGGGCGATTCATAATTCTCTTGTAAACGTGTCCGTACTTTTTCTAGAAATGCAGCTTTAGAAGTTATTATTTAGCGGCCACTTACGAAAATCGGTGACCCGAGAATTTTGAACTGTCCAATCTTTATTATTTATTAAAGTTTTGTATGTTGTGCTGACAACCTTCCTGCCTACTAATCGGTTTTGCTAAGCATCGGCTGCCACCAGCTTTTTGAGCCTACTTCCTTTGGACACAGCCTGTAAATTATTTACACATACGCACACACAAATTCGCCAGCTTCCCTTCTTCTTTTCTCTCATACTTCCAACTTCAAAACACCTTATGTCTGCTTCTCGTACAACTTAAACGCATAGCCAGCTACACAAAAGCGCGCACACACACACACACACACATTTGTATTTATATAAGTATTACTAGTGCGACTCTAAGGCATATTTGCTGCTACTAGCTTAGAAATATCAGCGTGAACTGTTCTAGAATCGCAACGTGATGGAGCTGCGCTTCCTACCCACCGGCAACAGCAACAGCAACGCCACCAACACAAACACAGCAACTCGGCAGCTCCAACCACTCAGCCAGTGCCAGTAATTTGAACACAGCCCACCCGCATACCAACAGCAGCCATAGTCTCCATAAGCAACCAGCCGCCGCCGCCGCCGCCGCCTGCCATGTCGGCGACGACGTTGATTCGCATATACCACCGCCGCGCTCTTCCTCCTCCTGTGAAACGCTGGAGGCCAGTGAGGGAATTTCCAATGCCATCGATCCGAGCTCGCCACTCTCCAAGCCACTACCGCCGTTGCCCAACTACAAGCCTCACGGACAACAACAGCACCAACAGCAGCCGCATACAACCCCACCGAAAATGACACAAAACAAAGCACAAGTAAGCGCCGCTACAACAGCGACTACAGCAACAGCACCAGCCGTAGCTGGCACGCCAAACGCATTCTACAACAACAACACGAACGCAATGCATTTGCATACAAAATCGAATTCGTCTCATTCATCCTCAGCCTCATCATTTCATTCTTTGCATAATTCACAGGCACACCTGGGCTCACATCAAGGTCTGCACCACGCGCAGCCATACCACCCGCCGCCTCCGGGCACGCCAACGCTGATGCACAAGCGTGGCGATTATTTGCCGCATCATCATCATGTGAGCGCTGGCCAACATCCGCCGCCGGTGCCGCCACATCAGAACAATAACCACAGCAACCACCATAATGCACATCATCTCTACCAGCAGCATCAGCAGCAACACGCGCAGTCGCAATCGCCGCTAACGCCGTCATTGGAGCAGCAGCGCGCACGCTGGAACGCAGCGCGCGCAATCTGCACTACACAGCAACCGCGATGCCGGCGAATGTGACGCAGCAATCACCGCACGATGCCGCCATGAATATCGATGGCCTGCCGACGCGCATACCATCGTTACGCCGCACGCGACGTACCTCTGGCAGCGCCAATAACAACAATGGTGGCGTGGGCATACCCATCGTGCCGGGCAGTCCGCGGGTGCAGCGTTCACCGATGCCGGCGCGCGCCATGATGAAGCGCGGGCGGCTGGGCAGTCACAACGACAACATGTCCTCGGGCAGTTTGAACAGTATTGAGGTGTGAGTGAGATGTGGTAAGGGGGAGGGTGAAATAAAGGGGAAGAAAGATGATAAGGGGTAAGCGGGAAAAGGGGTTACAGAGCCTTCGAATAATTAATATTAACACTTAGTATAATAGGTTAGGTTAAAAATAGGCAACGTAGAAAGAGAGACATAGTTTTAGGATGTGGTAAAATACTTCATAGGCATTTTTAGAAGATTTCAAATAAGGGCATTTAGCATTAGGGAACTCAATTGGTGGATTGAGCCAAAGAACGTAGATATTAAGAAGGGACAACTCGTAGTGTAGCGAAAGTGAGCAACAGGGGCGTACCTTCTCTTTTGCCATGGTAAGTTTTTTGATTGGAGGAAAAGCCTAAGCACGCCCCTGTTACTCCCTCTCGCTACAATTATAACGAGCTGTCCCTTCTTATTATCTACGTTCTTTGATTGAGCGCAATTTTTCGCAAATAAGATGGCAAGCTGAGATGAAATATGTTGTGGAAAATGATTTATTGCGGATTTTAAGTTAAGTTGCTTAAGGAAAGCTTAAGGTTCAGCCAGAATAAATTTTCTTAAATTTTAAAACCCTAGATTCGTATGCTCGATAGAGTAAACTTGTAAATATTCAAAATTTATGTAGTATTAAAAGTACGTTTCTAAAATTTAGAAAAATTACATTTAAGCTGCTCGAATATAAAACTATATAACTCGAATATTTAAAAAAACTGAAAGTTAGTATAATTTTTGCATACTCCCAGCCAGGGTGCCGTTACTTATATAGTGCCTTGTTTTGTAAACACACAGCAAACGGTAAAGCTGTTCCCAAATCACATAAAGACTTAACTGAATTAATTTTAATTATATTTGTAGGTTATAGTTGCCAACTCGAAATGACATTCACTACACTAGCAATGTATGTATGTATGTATGTACTATGTTTGTTTGACTAACTCAAATAATCAAATAGTTTAATATAAAATCCGTCCTAAAAGAAGAGCAAGAAAAAAATAAAAAAATGAATTTTCACAAAATTGTATGACTGAAAAAATGTTTATAAAGAAAAGCTCTATTACTTGATGAGACGACTTTGAAAGCTCCAACGTTTGTTGCCTGAAGGTATTCCGCATTAAAAGCGTAGTTCGAAATACAAATTTTGAAGTTGTAAAAATTAACTTACAGTCGAACACATTAGCAGCATTTTTGAATTAGAATCTATTTTTCGAACATCTAATGCATATCGTTTAACTCTTCAAAAAGTTTTTTTTTTCGTTTTTCTTTCAAGTTGGGACTCGAAAATTGAATGCTAGTTTTTTTAGTCTTTAATTTAATTAAAAATAATTTTCGTGCTTCCTACAGTTTTTGACTGCACTTTATTTTATGCTTATTTTTAGTATTTGCGTTCAAGTTTTAATATTTATTAAAAAAAATTATATGTATGTATGTTTCCTGGTCCTTATTTTTACGTTTTAATTGGAGTCGAAGTTTTAAATCTGCTGCTTTCTGTGGCAAGTTAAATTTACAAGCGATAAAAGTAATCATAAATAGTTTTATGCAAAAATTTTAAGTTTTTTATACGATTTTTTTTTTTGTAATTCATATTTTTTTCAAAATGTACTATTTTTATTATTTACCGTAAATACAATAATAAATTTGAAAAATAATTTTTAATAAGAATAAATAAATTACACAAAAAATACTATAACAATAAACGTAAATAATGTCTTATTTCTTGTAGTAAACTTTTCGGTAAAGCCTAAATTATACAAATGTATTTCAGGGTTTGTTTTTGTCCCTGAACCGGAGTTTCGCTTGGTTCATCGATTTGAAAATTAAAAAACAGCTAGGTATTCTTGTGTCAATTTTATTCAAACAAAGTAGAGAAATTTTTCTATTAAAAATTAATCCAAACGAACACTAGCCTTTATAAAAAGTTGTTCGGTTTTCGGTTCGAAGCAAACAATTATGGAAAATTTCGGTTTGGTTAATTATTTAGTAAAAAAAAAACCGTTAATCCGTTTCAAAACCGATCCACGCCCTGCATTGTAATGTATGGAAATTTTTTGGGGCCCGACAGAAACAAGGACACCGCGACCTAGGAGATATTTTGTATCCCTATGATGGTTCCTAACTCTGACGCCCAAGATGTTATTAGCCTCCCTTACAAAAGCTAAAGGTTTCTTCATAGATGAATACCCAACCTTAGTGGCATCGTCTGTGGAAGAACTGAAGTCTTGCAGTCTTAGTCTGGCTAATGCTGGACAATCACACATAATGTGCCCCGCCGTCTCCTCGTCTTCAAGGCAAAGACGGCAATCCGTCTCTTGGAAAAACCAATCGGATGCACTGAGGGCGCAGGTGATTATGGCCGCTTAGGTAGCCAATAAGCAACTTCGTGTTGGCTCTGTTCAATCTTTATATCAAAGCAAAAGGATAACCGAAAAGTCCGGTCTTCTAAGGCCCTTACCTCTCTCCAGTACTTACTGCGATCTGTGTCTACACACGCTTCGATTATGAGCCCCGAAGGCACCAACTGAGTACACAAAACGGTTTCGGCCCACAAGTACAGACGATGAGCCTTCCCTTGCCAATTCGTCGGCGGCTTCGTTATCTACGTCGATCCCACAGAGTCGTGGTATCCAGCATAGCAATACAGTGGTCCTTGCTGCATTCTGAAAAGATGAAAAAAATGTTGGATATTACCGCAGAGCTGCACTCTAACGTCTGATACAGAGCTGCCGAATATTCCCTCCTGGTCCTGTAGTTAATTAAGAGGTACTCCACGAGATACGTCCCTGGCTTATTTCAAGAACATTTCTTTGCTGGACAGGAAAAGATTAAATTGAATATGTCTTTTGTTGTATAGAAAGCATAGCTTAACAGCGTATCCTATTTTTAGGCGCAGCAACAAAAGACGTATAGAAATATTGTCTTGTGGAAATTTGTGGCGTGTGTTTGGCACTACAACCATTTTTCCATTTGAGTCGAGACCAAAAAACTTCCCCAATTGCTTCTCTCGTTTGCAAATTTGCGTAAGTGGTTCATCCCGAGTCCCCCTAAAAAGTCAACGTCAGGACCGGCTCTTAATGCTTTGTTGAATTGTCGCCTCTGGATTTAGCGATCCAAGAGGAGGCAATGAAAACGATGTATCGACTGCACTCTTTTGGTCTGTGGCACGACGATCGGAGCTCTGGGCACAGAGTTGTCAGAAGGTTGTCAGAGCAATATCCTTTGTTTTTGGCACCAAATGACAAACTGATACCTAGAGTCTCCTTTGGTAGAAAGTACGTCGTTAGATTTCCACAAGGGAACAATGGAGAGATCCAGACACTCTCTTGGGAAGCTCGTGAAAACTTTCTATACTGACGGCTCAAACGATACTGGAGCTGGATGGCATCTGAACGAAAATTTCAGATGCTTTACCGCTTTGGGTGCAATGACAACGGTATTTCAACGGAAGTCTTTGCAATACTGAAAGTGGCAGACTGGATAACTGGCGAAAGGTGGCGCGGACATAAAATCAGGATCTGCAGTGACGGCCAAGCTGCTCTAAAGGCCCTGGAAACCGCTCGAACCTCTTCAAAGTTAGTCCAGGAATGTAAGTTGAGGCTGAACTCCGTTACAAGATGGAAGAGCTTGAACTTGTTGGGTGCCAGGAACCACGGTGTTCAAGGTAACGAACTGGCGGATGAATTGGCGAACTGCGGTCTCTGGAGCGCCCAATTGGGCCGGAGCCAATTGTAGGGCCAACCATAGCAGAACGATCCGGTGCATAAGGATCTCATAAGAAAAACTCATGAAAGCCGTTGGTGCACTATTGACCCTGCAAAACACCAAGTGTTTCCTGAAAAGGCCTGACAGGCCTGTGTTCATCGTGTTTGGAGGACGAGGATAGTACAGAACATTTTCTCTGCCCTGTCCGGCCTTCGCCAGACTCAGATGGTACATTTTTGGGCGGATGTCACGAGAATGGACGACGTACATTCTCTTTCCCTCAACAAATGCTAAAATTCATAAAGAGTCTGGTAAGTTTGCAGAGGAGTAATGAATTCCCCACCCCACCTACATAACCCTTTCCTCTAAATCCTGTTTCTTGGGCTTAAGTACAATGGGCAATACTGCTTGAGTGCTTGGAAACTTTTTTTTGGGTTTTCCGGCCACCCACAATTCCATTCCATTCCATTCCCCATAAAAAGACTACCGTGAACTAAACTATTAGCCAAAAGTGCGTCATGTAGTTGTCGAGAAACGGAGAGGCCAAAGGAGTCCAAGACAAAGCACCCGTGCACACTGCGCGAGTTGCAAGGCGTACCCTGGCCGAGACTGGATTTGAAGAATTCAACCACACACCATACGGCCCAGAACTGGGCCCGTGTTTTCCAATTTGAAAAAAATCTCCGAGGACGAAAATTTTCGAGCGAAGAAGAAATCAAGGCGGCAGTAGACGAGAATTTCGAAGACAAAGAAATTTGTATGCATTTCATTTTTCATGCAAAACTTTTAGCCTCCCTTCGTATTTGCAAAAATAAGTAAATTAAAGCCTTTAATACTTACCTCATGCGTCGAATATTAAAGCAAAAACGGCTTAGTTTAAAAAAAAAATTAATATTTTTTTTTTTAGAAAAAAATGCAACATTTATTCCAAAATGGAAGTGTGATGAATGTAATTGAAGTGTAAATACTTAAAAAAAAATTAATAAATTTCATTATATACCAACAAGTGATTATTTTTTTGTTAAAAACTTTTTGTTGCATTATTTGCTACAATTTCATATCGAATATTAAAGTGAAACTCATTTTTGCGTGCTCTGTATATCCTTTCCTATTTATACATTTACATAATTTGTACATCACTGCACATCTGCACCTACATACATATGTACATATTTGTTACAAATATTCTTTCGACATAATTTTCATTTACTTCTGTTGTTGTATTAGTTCAACTACGTATGTATGTATGAGCGTTTTGTTTATAGTTAATTAATACCGTTATTTGTATGTATGTATGTTTAAAATTTATTATCCATTACTTGTATGTGAATAGTTTGTAAATAGATTTTCGTATTTTATATTTTCTCTAAATTTTTTATTTATTTTTTTATATCATTTATTTTTCTAATTTTTTTTTTGTAAATATAATTTTAGTACATTCTAATGTTTATTAGGCTAATCAATGAGGTGCCCTGTGGGCTTCAAAAGCTGTACAGAGCCAATGTTATTTTTATTCGCGTTTTTATAGCTTTTTAATCTTCTTTTGTCAAGTTGTTTGGCGCTTTTATTTAATTTTATATTTAATTTTAGCTAAGTGTAGTTTAGCTTTTGTAAGTTTATATTTGCTTTCTAGTAGTAGTTAGTAGCGAGTGCCTAAAGGTAGGCTTTATTGCAATCCACCCACTAATAGACGCAACTTTTTTTCCGGAAAGCATTCGACTTCAGAGTGTTTTTTTTGCCACTTTAGGCAAATTTGCTACACATTTTCGTAAAGATAACTAATTAGAAATCAGATATTACCTACAGTTAGTATTTTACACCTTCATTTTACGCGATTCAGCTAAAATTAGTTGCTTTTAGAAAACGCTTAATTATTAAATAGGAGCTTTTAGTTGCTTTGCAAAACGAAATGAAGTGATTTTAAAATATTTGCCGTAACAATGCTCGTTTATATAGTCAAATCGATCAGCTTATGTGTAAAAATTAAGTATAAAAAATGTATGCTTTATTAGTACAGTCGCGGGCCATAAGTCGGAGTAGTTTTGCAAAAGCGTTTCTTTTAAGGAATCCAAAATCGAATACACAGTTTACTGAACTAGGCCATAATCGCTTAAAAGCCCTTGTTGAGCTTTTTTTCGCATGGTAGCGTTTTTGTGAAATTAAAAACGAACAGGTGATGCCAAAATGTAACAAAATTTTCGATTCGATTGGCTCCAACGACTGCACAGTTTATTACTCATTCTTCATCTTTCATTCTCCACTGGGGAATTCTTTATTTTAGCACGGACAGACAGCAGAGTCTGCCACTCAATTCCATAATTGTTTTTTGCTTATGATTTCTATGTTTGTATGTATGTATTTTTGTATGTAAATATTTAAGCTAGTTCTTAAGCTAAACGCTTTTTTTTGGCAATCATATAGTATTTTCTAGTCGACTTCCAATGCCAGCTTCGTCGTCTCCTGCTCATCGACGCCCCACTTCAGTGGCGTAAGTCGCTGGCGTCTTGGCTTTTGCTGTCATAAATATTTGCGTAGATATTTTTTTGCTAGACATCACACATTTGTTCTGCACACATTTTTGAGAGAAAAAAGAAGAGCAGAATGGAAGAAACAATAGTACAAAGAACAGGCGTATAAGTATGTATTTTAAAGTTATAACTGTAAGTATTTTGGAAGCGAACGAACAAACGGGCGGAAAACCGTTGCGAGTATTTTTGAAAAAGCGGGTTAAGTATTATGGTAGGTACTGTATGGTGAGTAGAAATTCATATAACCCTTTAAATTAGATATACATATTTATAAGAGCTTTTAAAAAGCGTAGATACAGCTGTAAAATATTTAAAAACTATGCAAAAATTTATTAATTAATGGAAAATGATAGTCATGCAGAAAAAGTTTTATTTTGTGGGTTGGCAAGAATGTGAAATGCAAAACCAAAAAAAATAAAAAAATAAAAATTAAGCTGCTGGAGAGTCACTAACTACATAGGCGCCATCTGTTTGGCCGCTCTTTCTTAGTACACGTGTGCTTTGGGATGATCATAACTACTGTCAGAGCTTACGCGATTAATCTAGCACTGCTCTATGTGGCTTTCACGTGCACAAAGTGTCTCGCATGCTAATCATGCTTTAATATTTCTGCTGTTTAGAAAGAAAAACTTGGATAAAGCTTTTTAAAACAAGTTTGCAAACCAGAGCTCACCTCGAGTGCTTTCTCAATCTTAAAGTGAAAATTTCGGGTCAAAAAAATTTTTATTCATTTTTCTAAGGAAATTCGTTTCCTAGTTTTCAAACCTAAATATATATGTAGTTCGAAAAGTTAAAGCCTCTCTAGAGCTTTAGACAGCGACAAGTTTTGGGCTCTGTTTATAAAGGAAATATTTTTCATTTTGCATTTTATTTAAAACACTTATCAGAAGCATTTCTTGTTATCTTTCGATGCCTATAGATCCGAGGTCGACTAGTGTCAGCAAAGCGCATCGCTTATGCAAATTAGTAGCTTTACGGTTACTGGCGNAATTTTGGTGTGCTATTGCATGGAGATGTCCATCAGAAGCATTTCTTGTTATCTTTCGATGCCTATAGATCCGAGGTCGACTAGTTTCAGCAAAGCGCATCGCTTATGCAAATTAGTAGCTTTACGGTTACTGGCGTATCGAAATTAATTCGAATTTAGTGTTAATGTGTAAGTGATAAACTATATATCTCTTCGTATTTTATTCAATATTTACAATACAGTTTAAAAAACTATAAAAACTTAAATAAAATTATATTTTTAAAATAAAACTTAACTAATTAAAACAATATTTAACGCTTTATTGAGTACAGGCTTCTTTCTTTAGCTACATTCACGATTATAAGTCTCAAATTTCGGATTTAAATTATATTTTTAACGACTTTTACAAAATAAAATTTTTACAAATTTACGCAGACTTTTTTATGTACAAAATAACCGGTGAAATTCAGCACGATTGTTCAAAAATAGTTTATGCATTTTCATAAATCTAAATATTTTGGTGAAATATGTATATGGATGTAGATATGGTTGCTGGCTTTCTGAAATAAGATAGCAGTATACATATTTATTTGAAATTTACAGAGTCTAATAAACGCTAAGAAAAAATTACAAAAAGTTGATAAATTTTTTCTTAAGATTCTTATGATGGTTAAGTGCAGGATTTTGGGTGCTAAACTACATTCTAATAAGTAAATATATATAAACATTATGCTAATTGGTGTTAAGGCTGGTGGGGACGCAGGCGGGGTGAAAGGCTTGCAATTAGTAATAGCATTTTAGGCGTTCAAGCGTTTGGCCAAAAAGCAAAAAAAACTCCTTAAAATCTACTAAATATTTGAATTATTTTACTACTAAATATTTCATAGTTGCAGATGCACATTTCATGGATACAGAAGTGAGAGAGGTGTTGGTTGTGGTGGTGGTATTGGAGGGGGCGTAAGGCTTAAGGCGGTACTACTACTGCTCTGACAACTCAAATACAACTGACTCGGGTGGTACGGATGACGCTGGCGGTACTCTTAGTACCTTTTGGCCGCCAAAGCACAGCGTCAAGAGCCAACTGCCGCCACCGCCGCTGCTGCTACCAATGCTGCTGGTACCTCCGCCGCCCCCGTTGTTGCTCTGCCGACGCGCTATATGTGCGGCAACGTTGTTGTTGTGATTACTAACACGTCGCTGCTGGTGGCGGTAGGTGCTGCCGCTGGAGAGCCGGCGCCCGGGTATGTGCGTGCCGGTGGCGGCAGCGCTATATCTGCGGCCATTCATGCGGCGTGTGGTGGGCGAGTGATCGTTTCTGTGTGCGAAAGAGAGCAGAGATCGAGAGAGAGAGAGTAAGTGATTGCTTGTGAGAACGCTGGAGAGAGTGAGTGCTTCAATCGGGATCTTAGCTTACCTTTTGCCATCCTGTGGCGTGCCACCGGCCTGGCCTTCGGTGTCGGGTGCAGTGTTATAGGCGCCGGAGAACATTGAGGCACGTTTTGGCGCCCATTCGGGGTGACCGCGTACGGACATGTAGACGGCGAGGCTTTTCAGTAGAACGGTGCGAACCTGGTGGAGCAAAAAGAGCACGGAAAATGGTAAAAAAGATATCTGGTAAGTAGCGCCGGAGCAACGCCATTTCTTTGCATACTCACCTCACCATTTAGGAAACAGTAGATCAAGGCAATGAAAAATCCCTGAAATGAGGTTAGAAAATGCGTCCCATACGACCAAATGGCGAATTTCCATGGCGGCTTCAAGTTCAGTGCAGGTACTTGGTACAGTAAATTGGTGATACCCAGCAAGGGAAGCAGCACAATGGCTGCACGCACCGCCTTGCGCGTCTGCTCGATATCGCTGGCTTGACTCTGGCGCAATTTCATCACCAGGACGCGTATGATGTTCATCAGGAAGAAGAAGTTCAGCTGGATGTGTAAAAAGAAAGCAGATAATAAAATAGAGAAATAGATATATAATCGAAAGCCAGTGAATGAAGGTCCCCTACCAGTATAACAATGAAACGCGGTCCCTCGAGTATCCAGTAGTAAGGCGTCAAATTGTAGTTCCATAGGCAGTCCTGTGCGCTGTCCGTATACAAGGCCGTACATATCGCCCAGACGGTGGTCATCAGCACGGGCAGGCCCCAGCCGAGTAGCGAGAAGATTGTGTGCGGAAAGCGGCCTTGAAACACCGCCACCGTCACCATATTGTGCAGGTACAGACCCTCGATGAACATCCACATGAACATGGCGGTGCGAGCGTACTCGAGCAGCACGTAGGAGGCCTCGCAGAGGTAGGGCTGTGGAGTGGAAGGGTAGCGAGTGAGAATAATCAGTTAATATTAGGTGCTATTTGAAAAAAATCCCTCAGACTAAAAGCTCGAAGCTTACTCTAAAGCTCGTTTATGAAGCATTGCACAAAATTTGAGACATTTTGAGTAAATTTATTGCAAACAAAAAATAGTTACTACTAAAAAAGTAAATCCATCTGAAAGCTAATGGGCAAAACGTAGTCACAATTTTTTACTCGAACTGTTTACAGCTTTCTGATGCAAAAAAATAAAATCGTTATTAATTTTATTCAACACTTCTTCGAAGCTTTTACCTTTTGATCATTTCAAGGATAGTCTAAAATTTGTTAAAGCTCTCGGAGTTTGTGTAAAGCTTCTCCAGCTTTTTTTGTTGAGCTTTTCATCCTACATATTTTTAAACCTCAATTTTTAGTAGGAATTTCCAATTCACTTACCGTATTCTCAATACCCGCTGTACTCGTATTCGCCGTCGACGATTGACTGTCACGCCGAAACGCCTGATCGAGATACAGCGTCAGTCGTATGATCACTTGGCAAACCATAGCAATAAAGAGATTTTTGTGAATTTTTGTGCGATTGTTGCGTAGCGAGGAGAAATTGCAAAAAATAATTAACGAGATAATCAAAGCGACCAGCGACAGGATTAGGCCGACGATCTCAAGGGTGCGCGTGCGGTGAGCGATGTCTAGGTAGACCTAAAGGAGATTTTAGGAGTTACTCAGATAGCGGATTAAAATTCTAAGCTTAGCTAGAATGCAACTTACATCGATATTCTCCACTCGCTGCAGCATATCATTAACTTCTGGCTTAAAGCAAGGCTGATAGTCCGTCCAGCCGTTGGAGCTATTCTGTGCGTCGTTGGGACGACGTCCCCAGTGGCCATCCAGCTCACATTTTCGATTGGCGAACTCTGCGTGTTGGAGAGAGGAAGAGAGTAGAGCAAGAGAAAAGGATTATTGAGCATTTCAACTTTCATTTCAGAAGGTCAACTTTAGTGGCTGACTGCATATTTTAAATTTAATATTATGACAGGTATTTCGCCATCGGCCTAAAATTGCGTGAATTAAATTGTGCAACAATTTAACATCCGTTTAACATTTCCCATGACAGGCATTTAACCGCCGCTCACCCACTCGCACTGAAACCTCATTTACACGCTCATTTAACGCCTTTCGAGCAGACAGACAATACAAATTTTAAATTTAAAACTCAAAAGGATTAAAAATAGACCGCAGACCTTCGGCCACAATTGCAATTAAGTTAAAATGCCCACACATTTGCGTTGTGTTGCCAACAGAAAACAAAAACAGAAAAAAAAAATAATCAGACGAAATTACGCACATCCTTGCAATTGAGTGGCGCGATGGCGTAACAATAAAAGAGCATAGTGAGCGGCGANGACAGACAATACAAATTTTAAATTTAAAACTCAAAAGGATTAAAAATAGACCGCAGACCTTCGGCCACAATTGCAATTAAGTTAAAATGCCCACACATTTGCGTTGCGTTGCTAACAGAAAACAAAAACAGAAAAAAAAATCTGACGAAATTACGCACATCCTTGCAATTTAGTGGCGTGAGCCGCAGCGTGCGCGGATGGCGCAACAATAAAAGAGCGTAGTGAGCGGCGAGGGGGGGATGGCATTTGATGCACGGCATTTCCTATTTGTTGTTTGTTGTTTAGCGGTGACGCGAGCGGTGGCGGAGGCGGAGGCGGAGGCGGGGCAAAGACGGAGACGGCAAACTCATAATGAGTTAAAAACGTAAATAGGAAATGGAAAATTCATTTAAATGCGTTTTTCTTTGGCTCAATACACACGCACACACAGCGTTGTATCAGACAAATATGTGTGGAAGTATGGCTGTAAGGCGTTTTATTGCGTTTGCTATTGTTGTTGGTTGTGATGGCGGTTTTATGTAGACTACTGGCAGGCAGCAGGAGCAGCAGTACAAGTGCTGTTGGTAGTAGAATTATATAGTAAACGCACGAAATTTCTCTTCTTGTGATTGCCTATATGCTTATACATATATACATATACACGTACATACACACATATTCTGTTATATAAATCGCTCAGTGCAAAGATTTCTTGCACATGTTAATGCACGCATAGCTACTATAAAGTTACTCCTAGTATGACGACCTTCTTCGTATCTTGATTTCCAAGACGTTTGCCAGTTTTGTTTTTGCAACGTTAAGTGGCACGTAGGGCACGTTGGAAATTTGTTGAAAATCTCTCAAAATTCTTCTTTGAAAATTATTATGTTGTAGGTAAACGCATGTAAACGCATCTGTATGTACGCATGTAGTAGCAAGAGAAAAGTAAGCGCTGAGATGCTGAGGGCGTCAGGGACAGGTAGTCGAGCGTAATGTGAAAACGAAGCCAAAGAAGATATATTAAAAAATTCTTCTTATTTTATAAAACATCATTTTTAGCAAATTGTAATTGGAATAGTTCGTAAATTAGCGCAACAGAAAATTGCATAAGGAAATTTCTACGGCCAATATATACTTTAAGCAATGGCTNAAAGGCGGAGACGGCAAACTCATAATGAGTTAAAAACGTAAATAGGAAATGGAAAATTCATTTAAATGCGTTTTTCTTTGGCTCAATACACACGCACACACAGCGTTGTATCATACAAATGTGTATGGAAGTATGGTTGTAAGGCGTTTTATTGCTTTTGCTATTGTTGTTGGTTGTGATGGCGGTTTTATGTAGACTACTGGCGGCAGGAGCAGCAGTACAAGTGCTGTTGGTAGTAGAATTATATAGTAAACACACGAAATTTCTCTTCTTATGATTGCGTATATACTTATACATATATACATACACACGACCATACACACATATTCTGTTATATAAATCGCTCAGTGCAAAGATTTCTTGCACATGTTAATGCACGCATAGCTACTATAAAGTTACTCCTAGTATGACGACCTTCTTCGTATCTTGATTTCCAAGACGTTTGCCAGTTTTGTTTTTGCAACGTTAAGTGGCACGTATGGCACGTTGGAAATTTGTTGAAAATCTCTCAAAATTCTTGTTTGAAAATTATTCGGTTGTAGGTAAACGCATACATGAGTATGTATGCCTGTATGTACGCAGAGAGAAGTAAGCGCTGAGATGCTGAGGGCGTCAGGGACAGGTAGTCGAGCGTAATGTGAAAACGAAGCCAAAGAAGATATATTAAAAAATTCTTCTTATTTTATAAAACATCATTTTTAGCAAATTGTAATTGGAATAGTTCGTAAATTAGCGCAACAGAAAATTGCATAAGGAAATTTCTACGGCCAATATATACTTTAAGCAATGGCTCTGAAATGAATTTTAATCATATTTTTGGATATTAACATTTCACCACATTTGTGTCGAATATGTTGAGAAATATTTTAATAGCAGAATTCTAAAACAAGAAATATTTCTTTGCCAAAGTTATTATTAGAATACTTTAGCAATAGCAATGAAAAAGCGTAGGTAAAGCGCCTGCAGATAGGCTCCAACTTTTTATATTTCTCTAACAGGCCGTTTCTTCTGACTTGGCTTTAATGTTTATTATTTTTTTTACGACGGTATAGCGTAATCTTACAAAAACCATGAAAGTCCGAATTTCAAACTTTGTACAAAAATTAGGTAAATTCGGACAAAGCTTTATCAAAATTTTGAGCTTTTTAATTAGATTTCCTAGAAGAATGCAGTTTTGTAACCCATTAAATTTTAGTACAATGAAGTGCAATTTTAAAGTATATAGGGCTTTGGGATTTGTTGAAGGTGTTGCTCTTGGTTTCCATATAAAAACTTTTTTGAACACGCACCGGCAATAAAAAATTCGAAAAACCATCAACGGCATTTTGTAGCCACTTATGCTGGATTTCCACTAGGCATTGAATGACAAATGACAAAGTTGGGCATTAAAAAATATTCGTGTCATTACGTTAAAAAAATTGTCTTTAAGTTCATTTCCACATGGCATTTTTTTAAATGGCATATATTTTCTGTCATTTCAATGCCTAGTGGAAATTCGGCATTAAACCTTGCACTTTATTAAAATGGCATATAAAACTGCATACCAAGAATTTTTTTTTAACTCTGAGTAAAAAGTTTGAAATTTTGATTAGCATTTGGTAAAATTCGCCGAATTTTTATAAATCTTATACAAATTTTAAAATTTTGACTTAGATGGCAATTGAACTCAAGAAAAATGGTTAAAACTTGTTAAAATGTCGCGTCCTTACTTACATTTTCGACGCCGTACAAATGTAAATACATGGCAAGAAGGAGCCAAATTTTGCCAAAAATTGTATGAATGGTAATCAACCGATTGGTTTTGATATTCAAGTAAAGCGAGGAGAATACTTGCCATTTTTCAATTAAATTGAATGCCGATTTTTAACAACGAATTTAACGGTTAACATAACACTGACTCCAATACCAATCACGTTGAAGTATACAATCAAATATGGCTGTTATATGGCCATCTAATTTTGTATGCTGACTGTTTGCCACAAAAACCATGCCGTGCGGACGACGAAGTACCAAAGACTAGTAAAGAAATTGTGTTTGGTATTCGTCAATCCACACAGGTCATTGTAATTGAACTCGGATTTCCAGCAGCAGCTGGTAATTGAATATCGCAAAAGTCGTCAGCAAATGAGAGAACGACTAATATAACTGAAGTCTAACAAACGACGCTTGACTTTCTAACTAAATTAAGCCAACACAAACACACACACAATCGTAGCATAAATTGTTCATTGTTTACTTACTTGTTGTGTCAATGCCATGTCCGACTGGTGGACAATGCATGCGCGCTAGTACGCCAGCCGGTGTTGGTGGCCAGCAGAGGAATTGATCCCATGTCCAATTGCAGAAGACGCCTGTGAAAAGGAGTAAAATAGGAGAGAAGTGGAAAGAAATATTAATCAAAAATGATAGCAACGATTTGAAGTGCAAATGGATTTCGTACAAATTGGGGCGCTGAATGAGTGAAATTCGAAGGCAATTAAATTTATTTAAATGTCAATTCATTGGATTTACATATAAAAAGTTTAATTATTTTCTAGAAAACTTCTTGTGTGTGTGTGTGTGTAAAAATGTACAATTCAGCAAAAATTTGATCTATGCCACTATTTTTTTTTGTTCAGGTTTAATTGGCTTAATGCACCATAAGTTATGCTAACTATTAGTGTTTCTGCGTATTTGTTGTTTCAACTTTAATTTTGCAAACTTTTTCATGCAGCAAATTCATTTTCTTTTTTGTATAGAAATTTTATAAGCAGCGTAAATTAGTTGGAAATATGCCCACATGCACGCACAAATACAAACGTATATACTTATACATACGTATATATGCGGGTATATCCATGCATTATAAATCCAGACATATATGCATAGGTACATACGTACATACACACAGTATTGGCCAGTACAATAGCTCCCCCATTTCAAAGTGCTATTGTTTCCCACTCATGTTTATTTATTTATTTTTAGGAATTTCCCATTAAAATACGGTTAGCTCTCTAACAAAGCCCATACAAACCCAAGTCAAAAAAATCAACGAATTTTCACTAAAATTTCAAACTGTTGTCTCAGAAGTGTCAGATTTTTTTTTTTTGAGTACACAGTTTTGTAGCCTTTTCAATTGTAGTGTAAGAATATGCAAGTTTTAAGTGGCTAGAAGTCACCGTTGATTTTTTAGAATTTTTTCGCCGAAGGTGTGTAAATAGTGTTTATTCGTTATATGGAAGAAAATGCGACAAAAACAGTTCTAAAAAATCAACGGTTATTTTTAGACACTTGGAATTTAAACATTGTTAGACTAAAACTAAATGGGCTATAAAACTCCGCACTCAAAAAAATTCTAACACTCCTGAGAAAAAAGTTTCAAAATTAGGTGAAATTTCTTTGATTTTTTTTTTGTAGTCTTTTAAAAATTACATTTAAAAGTTTATATGGGTTTTATTAGAGAATGAACTATATTTTAATTGAAATTTCTTAAAAATTAATAATTAAACATAAGTGCCAAACAATATCACTTGGAAATGGGGGTTCTATAGATATGGCCAATACTGTATGTAGCTAAATACTTTACAATGAAAAATTATCAATTGATAAAAATAACCAACTTGCAGTTAGGGTTTTCGCTGGTTTTCGAGAAATACCTCACCTTTAATTAGCTATGACAAAATCAACTTATTTAAATATTCTCATACAAAAATTACTATAAATACACTTTTTTCTGCACTTCACAGTTGCGTTTTACGAATTCAGAACAAATAAAATAGATATCGAAATGTTCAGCCTCATTGCGAGAGTCGTGCCGAATGCAAGTCGTTTTTCGAGAGTCGAATCGTATCGAAAATTTCACGTCATTGCCTAAAATTTCCACTTGTCTTGGTGTACTAAACCGGAAAACCTTGGCAGCACTGCATAGATTTCGACGATTTTCGTCATTAACTTACTTCAGCACGACAGTAGACAATGCCAGTGTTGTCGAGTCGTACAATATAGCCAAATTTACGACTTATGCAGATTTAAGTTAGATTAATTCGTGCAGGGTATATAACACACACACACACACACACAAACAAAAGGCATTTGTACATAATTCAAGGGCTTCGCTTCATTTATTTGGTTATTATGACATAGTTTAACCAACTAAGCCTCAGCCACATAAACTGTTAATCGCATTGTAATGCAATTCTAAGCAGATTATCGCATTACATCATTACTAAGTAGTTAAAATAAATAAATAATTCATGAACAAAATACACAACTACACTCATACATACATACTGAGCGTGAGCATTGCTGACTAACCGCATTTTGCGGACTGATTAAAACGATTAATGAAAAACAGCATGAAAATGAATGAATGAATGAAAAAAACGCTGATTTAAAAAATTTAGTTAAACTTATAAATTTTCCAAATTTTTTAAACCAACAATATTTATAGAATTTAGGATGTCACGACAAACAAGGAAAACGCTGCTGCAGCGCTAGTTATATTTTTCCGGAAAATTCACCCACAACGTCACCACGCCACTCGAAGATCAAAAGCAAAGCAGATTGTTTTGTAACCACAGTTGAATCAAAAGACAGCACGGCGCAAATGCGCTACCTAATTGTCTGATACCGGCCATGGCGCTGGCTTCTTGGTATTAGCGCATGAAAATTTGCTGCGTTACCCACCACTAATGGGGAAAAGTTCACCGTATACTCCCGACAGTAAATCTGCAAAGCAATTTCGAAAAAATATCTACNATATCACATCAGCATAATCATTTCCTCGGTGTGTAGGGTTGCTTCGGACACATTTACATTTTCTGCTGCGAATTTCTCAGAGTTTTATCTCAAATGTTTTGGAATTGTGTGTGCGTTCTTGCAACACTGCCACGTATGTATGTATGTATTCTTATGTAAATATTCTAACAGTTTCCTACACGTCTACGTTGCTTGTCTTCTCCGTTGCTTTATACGCATGTTTGCTCTGTACTTTCATGTTATTTCATGCAACGCACATGCACGCATCCACACACCACATCCGCCCTGCTCCCTCTCATGATACCGTCTTTGGCCTTCGCTAGAGTTAACAAACTCGCNGACAATAATTTTTGTTTAAATAGTTCTACTGAAATAATTGAAATATTTCCTTAGTAAAAGTTTAAAATTTTTTATTGACCTTAAATTTACTGACATTAGGGTGGAACGTTAGGGTGATAAGAACTGATTTCTGGTAGGTAAGTACTAGAACGGGGTACTTGAAGTCAATGAACTGTGGAACAATAAAAATTGCCTCCTAGAGACAAAAAAATCGCTATATAATACCTCAAGATCCGACTGTAAATGCTGTGAAGTTATGACAAAACTGTAAAAAGATGTTTGCAAAAAAAAAAATGTCGAAATAGCCTTGAAACAATACTTTAGATTCGAAGGTATAAGGTTAACTTAAACCAGACTTAGTTTCGATTCGGCTCAGTCCTAGTCAGCGGTTTAGGCAAAATANATAAATACATTTATTTCCTTCATGTAAGTTCTGTAATCGCAGCCTGATTTATATAATTCCCCATGCCTTTCAACGACAATTTTCGATTTCCAAATTTCCCATTACAGCCGGCAAATATTTACGCAACTGAGTAGCAATTTCGATAGTTATTTGTTCACGTGGCGCGTAGCACGTGCGGCAGGTAGATTTTTTTTTTGTTGTAACTACACAATTAATACCTGTAGATTAGTTGTGAGTTTATGGAATAATCGGCTTGAATAGCAGTTCAATGAAAAGGGGTATAAATTAATCGCAGTTTTGATGGTAAAACCTTAATCCAGTACTGCCGACTTCGCTGTAGGCAAATTTTTAAATTTTGAAATATCACAGCTAAACGGGCAAACACGTAAACTTAAGTTTTAGAAAATCCGCATCATTTCAAAATTTTGAGATATCGATAACTTTATCGATGCATATACCAGTAAAATTGCCGATACCAGTATATTTATCGATATTTTATTGCGATCAATAACTAATCGATATTTATCGTTATTAAAAAAAAACATCGATAACAAATTACAAGACACTAGGGCTACTGTAGAAACAAACTGTGAATAAATGCGTATTGCTGCGTAACAAGAATGTTGTCAAGGATATCTTTTCACACTAGATTCTAGCTAAATATAGTTAGAATTACCTTAGGCTCAGTAAAATACAAAAAAATAGTGCACGCAATTGAGTTCCCCACATAAGATTGAGTTANATTTATAAATTAATCGCAGTTTTGATGGTAAAACCTTAATCCAGTACTGCCGACTTCGCTGTAGGCAAATTTTTAAATTTTGAAATATCACAGCTAAACGGGCAAACACGTAAACTTAAGTTTTAGAAAATCCGCATCATTTCAAAATTTTGAGATATCGATAACTTTATCGATGCATATAACGGGTGATTTTTTTGAGGTTAGGATTTTCATGCATTAGTATTTGACAGATCACGTGGGATTTCAGACATGGTGTCAAAGAGAAAGATGCTCAGTATGCTTTGACATTTCATCATGAATAGCCCATGCATCCCGAAAAATGCACTGTTTGGTGTGGTTTGTACGCTGGTGGAATCATTGGACCGTATTTTTTCAAAGATGCTGTTGGACGCAACGTTACGGTGAATGGCGATCGCTATCGTTCGATGCTAACAAACTTTTTGTTGCCAAAAATGGAAGAACTGAACTTGGTTGACATGTGGTTTCAACAAGATNTGCCGACTTCGCTGTAGGCAAATTTTTAAATTTTGAAATATCACAGCTAAACGGGCAAACACGTAAACTTAAGTTTTAGAAAATCCGCATCATTTCAAAATTTTGAGATATCGATAACTTTATCGATGCATATACCAGTAAAATTGCCGATACCAGTATATTTATCGATATTTTATTGCGATCAATAACTAATCGATATTTATCGTTATTAAAAAAAAACATCGATAACAAATTACAAGACACTAGGGCTACTGTAGAAACAAACTGTGAATAAATGCGTATTGCTGCGTAACAAGAATGTTGTCAAGGATATCTTTTCACACTAGATTCTAGCTAAATATAGAATTACCTTAGGCTCAGTAAAATACAAAAAAATAGTGCACGCAATTGAGTTCCCCACATAAGATTGAGTTAAAATGAAACACGGAACTCAAATCGCAGCAAATCAAACGCTTAGGGTATTGCAAAAGAGATTAGTTGTGGAAGGACAACTTGACTCTTTGTACCGTAAGCCTACATCCACACAATCTAATCAGTTACGTCGCGCACATAGTGAATGCACTTCTTGCAAAAAAATGTGTGTCAAGTATTGCGTGCCGCGAAGCAATTAACAATCCAATGGTACTGCCACCAAACGTTTCGTATAAAAAATATTTGCTGAAGCGAATTCAATGAAAGTGGCGCTTCTGCTTGCTAGCTGGCTGGCTAGCTAGCACAATGACCTGCGATGAGCCAATGACGATGTGAACAACTAATAAAAGTAGAAACATGCCTATTTGAAAAAAGTAAAGACAAATTAAAGAAAAACATAAACAGTGATTCAAAAAAGTGACCACGTGTTGATATTTTTTTAAATATTCACAATGTTTTTCTAGTTAAATCTTTTTTTTTTTATATAAAAATTTTGTCCCAAACCAAATAAATCAAACGTTCAAACTTTTAGTTCTAAATCTTTAGAAATTTTTTTTTTGTTTTGGTATGTACTATAAAAGCCCATAAAATATTTGTGAAGTGAAGTGCAAGTTTCAAGCGATCACTTGTTTAAGTCACTGTGAAAAAATAAATGAAAAAAGTAAAAAAAAAACGCTTAAAATTGTTGCGTCGCCCGAGTGAAAATAGTCAACGTTGACCGCGGTCGCTCCAAACCGTGAGTGACTATGCTAAATATTTGCTTTTGCAGCCCTTTACTATTGCAATGACAGCCGCGATGCGCTTTGATAAATGACTGTGCCAGCGCCAACACTTCTTTACTCTTTTGCTCTATGCTTCGGTCAGCCTTTCAGTCCTTTTCAAACCGTCCACCTTCCCTTACCACATGGCTGATTACCTGCCGCTTAATGCAATGAGCCGTTGTTAATTTTTTTTTTATTGATGTTCATTTCGATTTCTCCACTGACTTCATTATTTGGGTCAATGCATTTGAAAATGTCTACGCAATCAAGGCTATCTCTGAACTAAATTGCTGGCGGCAAATTGCTACCAAGCGCTTCACTGGGCCGCTGTGAATGTGTGTGTGTGTGTGTGTATATTGAGAATTTTCAGTTATACGCTTGCTAACAGCTGTATATTGCTTATCCACTTATGAAATTGAGAATGTACTCGAGGGTGGAGATGCATGTCTGTCGCAACATTTGATATCCTGCAGCCTTGACCTGCTTGCTAATGAGGCTGAATTCTGTTGGATTTGCAAATGTTACGAATGAAATTTCGACCCGGATTGTGATTGTAGTTATTCACTATAATTCAGACACTTTCGGAAACCACAAATTCACGCATTTGCCTGAGCAGCAGGTACATCTTCCCGTAAATAAGCATCTGGGCACAGTCTGCTTGTCTGACAGCTGAACTCTTCCACATTCAACTTCATAGTGGCTATAGTCAGCTAAACGTGTCTGCATGCGTCATAGCTCATCTTCTTTAAAAGACTTTCAAATCATTGCACTTCCAAACTGCCTCGTTGCTCCCTTAGCTGCCTGTACGTGCGAGCCACAAACTCAATCGAGCTGCCTGAATGCCAAGTGCTTTGGCTCTGGCGACGATGATGAAAAAGTTGATGCGTCAAATGCAATTTCTGTGCAACGACGTGTGTCGGCATGTGACAAGCAACAAGCAGCAAAAGGCTACATATTTATTTAGAGTACTACATATATTCAAAGAACTTTCGCACCTCTTCATCATCTGCTGCTTCCTTCAACAGAATTGCCAATGAAATGTTGAAAAGAAAATAACAGTTACAGACAAGCGTTTGTTGCCAGCATGTGTAGCAAATAGCTTACTCGTTTGCTCAGCAGAAAAGCTGAATTGGTCAAAAAATCGCCTGCCAAGTCATCGGTCAGATGGCGAAAATCAAATCACTCATACGCCTTGGCGTACCAAACCTATTTGAGGTGCATTGATGTACTCCGCTTATGTCGATTGCTTTTTCTAAACCACATTTGATTTGCATATGATTGAAATGAAGGACAGCAGCAGGCATAGAGTGTTACGAGCAGAACATGCTTGTGGTTTTGTCAAAAAAACTTAAGCCTATAGTGAAGCTACGCAGTACTTACTTAAGCTGCAGTGGTTGAAGTTAGGCAAATGGCTATATTAGGCAGACAGTTGGCAGCTGAGAATGCGAACGTGTCGACCGTCCAAATGCCAGTAGTTAAGCTGGCAACTGCCAACCTTTGCTTTTGCTGATTCGATTAATGCGGCTCTACTGCTGTAACTGCCTCAGTTGGAATGCCTTCACTCCCTGGCTTCTCTACCCCGTGCTTCGTTTGGGAATTGTCGAAATTTCCAATTAAAAGCTGGGAAATTGTACGGGCTGGGAGGCAAAAGGCATTGGCAAGCTGAAGCTATTGTGGCATGTATCCGGCATACTTCTTCAGCCATCATTGCTACAACATCATCCTGCAATCTTCACATTTATCGGGCCCGTCTGCTACTCTTGCCAGCTTTCGCCGCTGCTGGCTGCACCGATAGTGTAACGCCAGCTGCGGTCATCCGAGCAATCAAATATGCCACCAACAAATCAAACCTTTCACTCTAATACCCTAGGAAAGCAGTGTGATTTATGCCACCAAGCTGTCCGATAACTTTGTTAATTCGTGTGCTAACAAGCTTTAATGCTTTTCTGTCACTTTACCAAGGTGTTGCAATTGCTTTCAATTCGAAAATTCACATTTGGCATGCAGCATGGGTTATGCGTTCAGATAGAAGAGATTAATAGTTGAAGGTTTGTGTTGTGGCATTGAAGCAAAGTAGAATTTGATTCTGAGGGCAGACCAGTTATGGGAAGTGTAAAAAATCTCAGAACTTATGAACGAGGTTGCTAAAGATGGAAGTTTAATAATTTTATGATTAGCTTAGGCTATGGCAGGTTCGGCTAGGTAAGATGTGCGGTCTGATTTACTTTCGATTATAATATTTTGATCTTTGTCATTAGTATCGGTGATTCTCATTTAGAAGTAGGAATTGAACTGAACAATACAGTTAATCTTCCAGATTCATTAGCTGCTACACGCGTCAAATTATCTCCTCGGCTGCCATACAATTTAAAAAACTATCAACGACTAATTGATACTATTTATTTTATTTATAGCCACACGTGATTGGTCAAAATTGATTAGAATGGCCGCAAGCTACCCATCAAGCATATCATCAATCAAATTCAGGATCAATAGATATGTAACAGAAGCAAATTTCATACTCGTTAAATATGCATCACTCACAGCTCACAGTGGTTCAAAACTGGCATTTACTATTCATAATTTCAAGTGGATACGAGTTCGCGTTGATTTTTAACAATATATAAATATATAGTAAGAATATAAACTACGCAACACGCAGATGTGCTCGAAAAGTTATCGAAAAAAATTAATAAAAATCAACGCGAACTCTTACCACACTTGCAACTTGCACTTTATTATACTAACTATCATAAAACTGCATAACCAAACCTTTTCAAAAACTAAAAAAAAATATTGTTTTGATTAAATTTTGTTTAATAACATTTAAATTTTCTTGTGAATTTGTTTCGTTTTGGGGGAAATCTCCAATTGTTTTCAGTAAGTTTTTATTATGTAACATTTATTAACTGGAACAGAATAATATATTCTTCAAAATTGCTACTTTTTCTGCATCTTGCACAAAATTTAATACAAGTGAATTATAAAAAATACATTCAAGTATTGAACCACTGTGCAGCAGCTATTGAAAATGATTCCTGTATTAAGACTGGCTTAGTTCACACAAATACATATTTACATACATACTAGCGTGGGCCGAAAATCCGCTTTTTAACCGACTTCCAAAAAAGGAGGAGGTTATCAGTTCGTCGGAATATTTTTTTTTTTTTTTTTTTTTTATGTATGTTACCGCATAACTTTGGACCGCGTCAACCGATTTCGATAATTTGAACCGATTCGAAATTTTGCATCAGAGGTGGTCGCATACTAATCTGGTTGAGATCCGATCAGTGGATCATGAGATATATATATATATTTTTTTTTTTATATGGGAGTTGAAGTCGGTTTTTTTTTTGCTAAAAATTACTAGTTTAGAATTTTGATTGGTAATAGCAAAAATATGGTTCATTATGCTCTAAATCTGAGTGAAAGGTGAAAAATTTTGGCCAATATCCTAGGCTCGCCCAAGTCCAACAAAGTTCAAGTACTAAAAAAATTGTTTCTTAGCTAACGTCAGTTCTCTACAAAAAAGGTCCATATACCAAATTATGTAGGACTAATACTTTCGAAAATTATTGCAATTTTAGTAAAAAAATGTATTAATTAATTTATTTATTAATTTTTATTTTTTGAGCATAATGAACTTTGATGGACTTAGGCGAGCCTAGAATATTGGCCGAAAAATTCCAAATTTCACACAGATTTTTTTTTAAGCATAATGAATCATATTTTTGCTATTATCAATCAAAGTTCTAAAAAAGCGGGTTTTCGGCCCACGCTAATACATACATATGTGGAAGCATGAAAGAATATGTATGTGTGTATATAGATTCACGAAGGTAAGCGAAAGTGAGAATTTTCAAAGCACGCAGCTGTCTCGCAGATTAATAAATCATCGCTAAACTGTCATTGATGACAATCAGCGCCAAAAATCATACACACGCGCTTGTATGTGTGTGCGCTTGACCTCACCGGCCTGATCAAAGCAAAACCGTTGCACACCCTGTCCTGTCCTGCCCTCCACTTTAATACTCTGCATAATAAGGCATAATAATAACCACAAATACAACAAAAAAAATTGCATCGGCAACAACAATTGCAGCTGACCGCTTCATCAGGCATAAGCTCCTACATAATTCAGCATTTGTTGCCCGTTGCGGTAAGCTGATATTGTTACTGCTATGACAACTGTGGCTACTTACCATTTTGCGGTCGCGTATAATTGGCAAAGAGCGCCGAGCAATTCTCAAAGCTGCGTATGGCGACCTGATAGGGCGGGTAAATGATGCTGGGCGCGGTGGTTAAAACACTGCTGCCGTTCACTGCGCTCGTACTCGCGCTAGCTATGCCACTTGCCGCCGATGTCGTTGTCGTTGTTGTTGTCGTCGTCGAATTGAGCAATTCGGTGGCATAGGCGGCAGCAGAGGACGAAATATAAGCAGTGGCATTGACTAGCGTTGACGCCGCACGCGTAACATTAGCGGACGCTGACGTTAGGAAGCCGGTCGTAGTGCTGGATGCGTTAAGCGGCGCTTGCAGCAATGTTTTGGCGGTGCCAAGCAGCGTGGAGCCGGCGCGTTGGTCCGTCGCATCTACAGCCGCGCCAATTAACGCATCTGTTGCACTAGCGTCGAGGTTCGAAAGCCTTTCTGTGGTTGTCGCGATGTTGATGCTGCTGCTGTTGCTGTTGCTAGTTGTTGTAGTGGTGGTAGGCGTTGTAGCCGCCCCATAGCCATGCTCGTCGTGACATTCTGGAAGTACATGTAGAGCACGCGCGTCACATTCGAGCGTATTGATGTGATGGTGGCGGTCAAATTGTTGGAAAAGGCCGCATCCGCATTGTTGTCGGCGATGTTGTTGTGGTCGCCGATGGCATTGCCCAATAATTGATGGCTTGCGCCGGCGCTGGCAAAAGTTGTCGCGCTCGTGCGGGCATCCAGTGTAAGCGGCATGGCCGGCGCTTCAGATTCGCGTTGCGTTGCAAGGAGCGAGGGTCGATGGTCGGTGATGGAAGGGAATCACAGCTGCAGCTCTATTTATTGTTGTTGCCGTAGCCACTTCTACTGTGTTTGCATTTGTTTGCGCACTGACATCCGTTTCCGCTGTTTCGGATATTGTCATTGTCAGCATTTATTCGCAGCAGTCATTTTCGACTGCCTCACGCACTTCCTCGCTCTGGATTGCTGGTGTTTTTGGCTCTGGTGTATGCTTTTTTGCTCTTATTTTCTCTTTTGGTGGGTTAAAACTTTCATGCATATGTGGGCTCGGTTTGCACGTGTATGCGGATGTGTGTGGGTGCAGCACGTGCGCGTAAGTCGTGCTGCTCGTCGCAATGGTTTTTATTAAAATATTTATTACTCAATGAATTCAATTCTTTGTGCATCCAACTGTCACACTACTCTTCTCGGCAAATTGCAAATGTTTTCTCGATATTTATTACTTTGCTTGCTTGTTTTTTGTTGGCTCCGTTAAAATCGCTTGTCCATATGGCGGGTGTCTGCAATTTAAAAAAGCAAATATGCGAATGTAAAATTAATTGAATTTCAGTTAACGAATTTTCTTTGTGAAAATATTTATTTGCGGGAGATCTTTTCGCCCGTAGAACAAAAAAGACAGCCGCTTACCTAGAAATTATATTAAAGCAATCGCTTTAGTAAAACAATGGATGTTACTGAAAACGAATGCTGTTAATCTGAGGAAATAGACTGTGGACACATCCTGAATTAGGAATAATAAAATTCGTTAAAAAACCGCGCAAGTTGGCAAACAGGAATTCTGGTGCGCCGAGAAGTATGCAACATCTGAGGCAGCTTATTCCACTTTTTGGTATTTCATTTGCCTTGTTGGAATATGTATGCAATTCTCAAACGCCCTATAATTTTTATTAATCGAATGGTACTGCTAGGCAACAACAGAAGTCATCCCTCAGCAGCGAATTCTATCACCGAAGAATCACTTTGCTGAAACAGTGGTGACGTCTGCCTGGGCAAACTGTATAACGTGGCTGTCGATTGCATCAGACCATCTACTGATATTCGTCGCGATGATAAATCTGCCGACTTTTCTTCCGCGGAACACCGAACATACATACATCATATATAACAAAGGTTTTCCGGATGTTACGGATAGCCCCTTCGCCGCCCTTCCCATACCAACCAACGTTCATGCAGGCGAACGTAAATTCCGGGTTATCACTGCTGCTACATACCGCTTCATCTCCGCTGGAAATTTCCCAGCTGAAGCAACTGTTCTTTAGCAAACGAGCGCGACCAACTTTGCCAGGTCGAACCAGAAAAATCCAGCATCACGGTTCTCAATTCGGAGATTCGGAAACTGGTAAACCAATACAAGCGAAAGGAGTGGGATCACCCGAAGACTTGCAATTACACCTCTGGCGTGAGCCTAGTAGCGTTGATCTGCCAAAAGCGTTTGACACCGTCTACCACTCCACGCTACTAGAGAACATTAAGGCTTCCACTCTCCCACAGAGTCAGCGTCAAACCTAAGAAGACTTAAACAGGAGATCCACAGGGTGGCAGACATTTCCCGATTATGTTTAATTACTATATTTCGAAGCTCTCTCAACCACCAGACGGAGTCTCCATCATCTCACATGCTGACGATTGCTCCATAATGGCGCCCGGAAATGGAATTGATGACTTGTGCTCGAAAGTAACCGGTTACCTCTCCGCACTGTCTCGGTTTTTCATTGCAAGGAGCCTAACCCTCTCTCCAACGAAATTCTCGGCAACCCTTTTTAGCAGCAGCTTCAATTCGCTAGCCGGCACCACCTGAGGCAAAGACAAAGAAACGTTGCTGGCAACATGCAGGGCAATTGGCCAGCCGGTTCTAAATCATGCAGGGCCCGTGTGCTCGCCGGGGACTAGCAGGACGCTGTGGACCACACTACGGACAGCCACGGACGTGGGCACCCGAACGGACATTTTCTTGCGGCAGAGCCCTCGACAAGGGACGTCAGAAGGCATATTTACCAACTGACGTACGAGGTTCATTGGACCCGACAGCGTACAGACAGCTTATAAACGGCATTCACAGAGAGTCGGTCTCAACCTACACCAACTCCCGACATGGAATGCCGTTTTTGAAGCACAAACCACATGATGTGGATGGGACAGAACTTTCTCAGCCACGGGGGACGCGCACATAAATTGCACCACTTCTTCGGCATTCGGAGAGTCACCCCATGACCCCACATTTATCTTGGCATATCCACGAAATTCCACTCAACTAACGCCCCTCTCCCTCGGTCCAACTAGGACACAAGCAGATCTAGGCAGGACTAGTGATTTGCCTCCTTTTGTGAGAATGGCTGGAGTTTTTTGGGACACCAGCAAAAGCAAAAAAAAAAATAGGTAGCTAGTTTTGATGGGTTTTTAAGATTCCGAAAATGTAATCAAAAAACTAGCTTTCTGTAAGATGTTTACTTAAGTCAATCGCCTTTCCAGTGCCAACCTTTGATATAAATTAGTAAGTATTTATATATAATAATGAGTAGTTTTTTAATAAAAGTGCACACTAAAGTAGTATCTAAGTCCTTGTGCTCTCACATACACACACACACATGTACATACATATATGTATTCATACTGCTCATGTCCTTATTCATTATAATTTTGATTTATTTTGCCTACCGCTTCACCGCATTTTCCCAGAGTCAATGCTTCAAAGAGCTCACCTTCAATCTAAACTGTGATTTCTTGGAAGCATTTCTAAGGAATTCTGCTGATTTTCCTTCAACAAGTGCGACAGCTCGGCAATTATTACAAAGTCAACAGTACTTTATGTAGCAGCAACACATTTGTATACGTATGTACAGTGCCGGAACAAATTATTGGCACAGAAAAATTTTCACAATATATGCAACAATCTTCGTTCTAATATTTTTCCGCTAATTTCGTATAAAAATATGGCTCATTCAACAACAAAAAACATAATAATATATTTCCTAAACTTTGTGCAAAACTCGCGAAAATTCAGCCAATTTTCAACAAAATTTTCAACTTTTTAATCAGATTTTTCAGAATTTTTTTGAGTATGCAGTTTTGCAGCCCATTAAATTCTAGTAAAAAAATGCAAGCTCGGAGTTAGTCAAAAATGGCGTTGATTTTTGAGAATTTTTTTTGTTGAAGGTGTTTTGCATTTTTTCCATATAAAGTATTTTCGAAAAAAAATTTTTGTAAATTTTTGTGTGAAAAAAAAAATTCCAAAAATCAACGGTAATTCCTAGCTACTTAAAACTTGTACTTTATTATAATAAAATTTATTGGGCTACAAATCTGCATACTCTAAAAAAGCTGATTAAAAAATTGAAAAGTTTCATGAAAATTTGCTGAGTTTTCGCGAGTTTTGCACAAAGTTTAGGAATTATAATTTTATGTTTTTTGTTGTAGAATGAACCATATTTTTATACGAAATTAGCGGAAAAATATTAGAATGAAAATTGTTGCATATACTGTGAAAATTTGCTGTGCCAATACTTTGTTCCGGCAGTGTATGTACATTAGGGTGGTTCAAATCAACAATTGGGTTTTGGTTTTGGAAGTCTTCTGAAGAGAACCAGAGTTTTCCGATCGAAAGGAATATGGATTTTCAAGAATTATATACAATTTCTTTGAAACGTTTTTTCCCATATAAAATACATGGACAACTTTGAGCGCCTGTAAATATTTTATTTGATTTCAAAATAAAAAATAGGGGTCAATTTTTTTGGTATAGAACAATCCTAGGGGGTGAGAGCATTAAAATTCCGAATTGTACTTTTTTTTTGGACAACCCTAATGTTTGTACATCATCCGCGTAGCATGCAGCATGTACGCATTCTAAATATGATTATGTACGCCAGGAAAACTCGCACGCTTGAACGCTTTTCAATGCATCGCTTCTAAATATGTATGATGAAAAGTGCGCCAAGAATGCTTGCATGGCATGTATGCATGGCATTCATGGAGTATGATGGTATGTATGTAAGCTCGCTGCTGTGCGACTTCAATGCAGCAAAGCGATTGCTGGTTGCTGGGTGCAATAAACAACTTTTCAATGAACATTTGTTATTCAATATATTATTTATTTGTTTGCTTGTTGTGAGCATTAATCATTAATCCCCATCAATGTGCACAGCTACAACAACAACAACTACAATAGCAATGATTGAATGAAATAAAAATCGGCGCTGATTCTACTTGCCAAGCTGAACTCGACGGAAGCACTTGAAGGCAGAGAGGATCTATTATAAAAAATCAATTTGTAGCCACACAAATGCAAAAAAAAAAAACAAAAACAAAAACCGACCGCATAAAGATGTGTTAGTGTATTGACTGGCACGCTCAAGGGAACACTGCAGCCGGCAAATAAAAGCGAATTTGCGGTAAAGGTTTCAATTTCAATAAGCTGCACGTCTATTTTTCATATTGGCCACAGTGCAACAGAATTAAAAGCAACATCAAAATAGGAAGCAGAAAAAGGAAACAAAGAATGCAACAACAACAAATACAACAAGGACAACGACAACAAGTTAGAATGGATAGCCGCTGACTAGCCAACATTTCTCGGTTAAACTCGAGCCACTTGGCAAGCCTTGACATTGAATGGGAAACAGAGAGACGAACAATCGCAAACTCGCACATCCACACACACACACACAGATGAGGGGAGGGAGACAGACAGACGACTGGCAGCTGCTGCGTGCCACAATGCAAGGTGAAAGCTGTGGCAGCTGCCCTTCAGTGGCCACAACATAAGCATCACTCGTAGCAGCCATCAGCAACAACAAAAACTCAATAATGCCGTTGTCAGAAGACATTATTAACCGCTATTGAGAGGAGCACTCCTCATTCGATGCGCAAGCAGCTGTGCTACATACAAACAGACATACTCGCGTAAATGTGTTGCACGCATTGGCATGTGGCTGCGCTCTAATGCCAAGGTATATGCA